AAAATACTATCTTTTGTGGAAGGCTTTTTGGATTGGATTTGGATTGTTTATTTGTATGCCGCCCTTTTCCCTGGGGGGACTCAGGGCGGCTCACAATCAAAAGGAAGGGGGAGACAGACTTTTTCATATAAAATAGTACATGATTAAAACGCAACATTCATACCATTCGGGGCGGGTTTTTAATATATACATTATAGCATATACTTTTCACTCGAGTGCACTGTAAAATACATAAGTGTATTTTGTATGAATATAGTCACCATGTTTCATAAGTGTATATTTAAAAAGTATCAACTAGCATTAAAATAAGAATCAAATTTCTTTTTTATTTTGGGGCACCATAATTCTTAATTCTGGCAAGCAATTTTACAAAACTTTAGTATTCTGTTGCTGACAACATTGTTCAGTATATTAAGTATCACAGATATCTATCAGTCTTTTTTGCCACTATTTTATTGTACTTTCCTTGGTTTACTAGGGGATTTAAATAACTTGACTTACTGTTCAGTGATGACATATATAAAGATGGCGAAACTGATCATCGCGAAGAAAATTGATACTACCACAACTTCTATTTTTAAGACACTTGTTTCATTATTGGTTCTTTTTGTCTTCAAAAACTGTTCCACGCAACGTTCACCAAAGTAATCTGGGTGGCATCTGAAAGCAAATCGTGAAAATGCACAGAGTAGCGTCACTGCTATTCTAAACATATATAGAACACTGAAATGATGTTCAAAATATCTTCAGGAACAATTCAATAGTTTGAATTGTTGATAATTTGTGTTGAAAGCACCAGGAAAGGCAACTTCATTTTCATATGAGGCCATAATGCAACAGCTCCACACACTTTTATATATATATATAGTAGGACATTTTAGTTGAATCAGGGATACAGGTAGTCCTTGACTTATAACCAGCCACTTCATGAACATCTGAAATTATGATGGGCCCAGAATGAGAGTTTTATAGTCACTTTAGGCCATTGTAAAATGTTATCACACATACACACACACACACGCACACACACACACAATTGCAGCATCGCATGATTATGTGACTATGATTTGTAACTTTGTTGCTAATTTCTGGGAAAAAGTATCTATTTGGAAGAATAAGTTTGCACTTACGACCATGATGTTCGTTTAATGATCATGGATTCACTTAATGACAGTGATTTGCTTAACGATCACTGCAAAAATGTCGCAAAATCAGGTCGTCACATGGGTGCATCGGCTTACAACCATAATGACTTACGACTGGAAATTCTGTCCCAATTGCAGTCGTAAGTCGAGGACTACCTGTAATAATATAACAAAAGGAGCATTTCAGCCTATAGAATAGTGCATGGAGCATACATATGTCAGTCATTTATCTGAGCAAAGATAAATGAATCTCCAGATTCCTGTACTTTGATTGCAGCTCACTGTGATAAAGTTCATTTGTTGCATTTGTTGTTCATAAACCATAGATTATAGCCACAAAAGCCTGCTGCACATAACATATCCAACACCAACCAAAAAAAATTACACCTTGTGAATTCTATCCAGATTAATGGAAGATATATGCATACAGGCAATATAGTAGCCAGGGCCACTATATTAATTTTTTCTTATGCTTCCAGAACACTGGTGGATAGGGAATTAATATTTTTTGTAGATCCATACATTCTGTTTCATCACTTTATTAATAGCTCTGTGAGAGAATAATACTTTCAAGTGGCAACATATTAGCTATCAAAATAGAGATACTAATGATTTTATCAAGGTTTCTATTTAACTTACGTGCAAACAGGTATTAGAAACTGCTCAATGTATCTGCATTCACCATGAACACAAAAACCTTTATATTTTCCTTCGCACGGAGTTTTAGTTTTCCTTTTAGTTTTCTTCTCGTTTCCTTTTCTTTTGTGTTTGCTAGGGTTCTTTTTTCCACCATCTAAATTTGCTGGATTCTTAATGGGTGGTTTCTCTGGGAAAATATTATTAATTATATTTAATTTCGGCAGAGAGACAGTGTGCTGTTGTGATCAAAATGCTAAGAATTAAGAGTTCTTCTAAAACTCTAAAAAAAGAGGGACTAGTTTATAGCAATCCCTTAGGCACAGAAACTTCCTGAGTAACCTTGAGCCTTTTCCACCCAAAGGAGCAGCTTACACCAATAGCTTCACTGTAAAAAACTAGGTATGCAAAAACAAGTGGATCCTGCATGAGGGAAACATGCTAAGAAAAGAAGAAAAAACCTATATTGGCATCTATCTCTGCTGCAGCGAACTCACTGGAAGTCTTTGATTCCAATTCACTAGCCTTATTATATAGGTAACACAAAGTAAAGGGCTTGGATTGGCTCAGAGATGGAAGAAAGATTTTAATCTCAGATTCCTGTTGTTCTAATCAGAATACTATTTTGATTGCAAATACAACTATAAAGCAAAGAGATGTTATATTAGTGACCAAGATATATACACAAGAAATGTACAATGAATATGTTCACTTGAAGTGGTTATTTGTCATGGAAATCCTACATTTTAGTTGACTCTGTGGCTTACTTTAAACAGTCCCAAGTTTGTACAAAGTCACAACTTTAAGCTCATCTACGACGTTTATCTTAAACCTAATGAGTCACTGTAATGGGGGGATGGCAATCTCCCCCCATCTTATTGGTTTTCTTCCTCATGACGCTGGAGTGACCATGGTTTCTGCAAAGCTCATAGAAGGGCAGGAATTTCCAGAAGAAAACGAATGGGGATCTGCATTCCCAAAATGACTTCTGATGTGTGAAGACATATTAACTGGGTTAAGCATATTGTGTAACTATGACTAATATGTTTGCACCAGCAACTCTACTGCAACAAGAAAACCAATTCAAGAAAACATGCAGTTTTCTACATACTAAAGTCAATTTGCTATTCTATGCAGTGTAATCTTCTGGCTCAGAGAGATCATGTTCCCATATTTAGAAGCAAGGGCTAGCTACGTATCTGAATAAAAATAAGAAGAATTCATTGATGATCTTGATAAAAGTAAACATTTATGTAAAGTTTTGGTTTGATGCAATTATTTTACATTTCAAGAATTTCAAAACCAGGATAGAGAAACCGGATTTTTAAAATAACTTCTGCCTTTCTAAATGCAATTAAAGAAAGTCAGTATGCAAAACATTTTAATATAATTGGTCTTTTCTTAGTTCTCTCTGCAATAAAGTCAAAACTAATAATGTAAACATTACTGCTCAGCAATAAGATAAATTAAATAAAGTTCTCTTAGAAGTTTAACAATTCTAATGAGGTGTGGTAATATGGTTAACCCCAAAGATATTTGCATTTCAGAGGGGTTTAAAAGATCAGAGTAGATAATTATGTGGTTTTAGACAGGGTTTCACAATGATCTGCCAATTCAAAAATGCATATTGTGGGATTGAGAATATGATTTGCAATGGATTTCTCATTTCTAATCAGCATAAAATAGTCTGAATGAATTATTTAGTTTCTTCCTGACATGACTCCACTTACACGTGAGGTATAGTCAATTCTCTATCTCAAACGTGATTTGAAACCCTAATGAAACAACTTCTGTTTTTTGTTCAACCACCTTTAACTTCAAAGCTTTATGGCCAACTCCCATTCACATGCAGCAGAAACCTAGCATTTAGATGATCCTTGGTTATTATATATGGATACCACATGCAAACCTTTTTCTTCCTATTTAGTATTTCCCATCAGCAGGAGTGGTTAAACCAACAAGGTCTTACCACAAGGGACAAGCAACCTGGAGGCCTCCAGATGCTTTGGACTTGAAATCCCAAGAGGCCCCCATGACCAATGGCCAGGATTGTGGAGGTTATAGTTCAAAAAAATCCCAGGACATCAGGTTGTCTCTCTAGCATATCATGTAGCCAGAACAGGTTCTCATGTTTTATTATTTACAACCAAGGACATGCAACCCTTGTCTTGGAATATAGGCATATTGAATCAAAAACCTTAGTGAGTTATTTTAACCCAGCTTTCCCACATCTAATATCCTCAAGATGTATTCAATTATAACTCCGGTGTAACTGCTGGGGAATGATGGGAACTTGCTGTTATTCATCTGGAGGGCATATAGCAGAGAAGGCTGATTTAGCCCTTTCTGTAATAGAAGGACCTAAACAAGAGTGAACGAGTCAGGAACTCATGAATGATACACCAGAATTCTCCCTCATTACATATGAGCATAATCACAAAGTTGTACGCTGTGATTCAAGTGATCCAAGCTAAAATGGAATTATTTTTTTCATCTTTTATCTTCATAGCAGCCTTTACGTTATATCAGACTGAAAGAGCATGATTGGTCTGATATATGTCAAAAATGTATTCTGTGGAGGAAGCATTTTCTTATTTACAGTTTGTCAGGAGCAGCCCACGAGCTTCCTCCTGGTGATTCAGCCTCTGCTTATTATGCTCTAGCCCCAAAACCTAAAGGTTTGTGCCAAATCATCTTATTCTAGAAAAGAATTTGTTTTTCTATTTTAATTTCCACATCAACAAAGTCTGAAAACACCACAACTCTTTACAACCTCTTTCTGGGAAGGCAGTCAACTAACCTGTGACCAGATGTACATCTTGGAAAGAACTATAGGTATCTTGGTTTGCTTAATTGCTATGCAAAAGGATAAACATTAATATATAACAGCCAGTAAGCAGTCTCTCCCTCCCTCCCTCCCTCCCT